TTTCTTCTACTATTACTCATGGAAAAGTTTTAAATTATTTTACAGAGATTTTAATAATCAGTTGTTTCGTAGCTTGACGTTATTTATCTCGTAGTGTCAAAATAAAACGATTATTGTTACACATTGCGAATTTCATTCTATCTGAAAAGACTTGATAAATGACACTATGAATTTTTTTCAGATTGTTTTAAGACGGTTATCATTAGCATAACACTTAAATAAGAAGCTTAGTTTACGATGAATTATGTTTCAGACTCGTATTCATATATACTATATTGATGGTGACTGTTTTAAAAAATTTGAAAAAGTCGAAAATTCCATCAATTATTTTTTTCTCCAGATAAACTAAAATTTTGTCGTGCATAAAAACGATGTTTGATTGCTATATTAAGTAATGAAAAGAAAAGCAGTGTTTGCAGAGTTCATAGCTGAAATCGGTCGCAGCTTTTCAGATCGTAACGGGCCGACTGGTTAATATTTCTGATTTGACCCGCAAAAAAACCGTGAAAAACGGACTGATCACAATTCTTCAGGTAACTGGCGAAAAACCGGTGCATTTCAAGTCTTAATTAACCAAACAGCTCTTTCGAGAAACAGTCTATTACCTCCGTTCTACAAAGATATACAATGTCGAACTCATAATGTGGAGTTTCTAATAGTAACGGCTACTATTTAAGTGTGTCACGCTTCATACTCATATATAAAGAATGAACGATGATTTCTTTCAAAAATTTTTGGCGAGCAATTCGCAGCAACTAAAGCTAAACAACGTTTGCATGTGCTTTAACTGTTTTTCCAATAATGTTACAATGTCTTTACAATTGATAGATTTGATCTTTTTCTTTTTTGAATGAGATAATTATTTGACATAGCTGAAAAGCATTGCAATTTGCAAAAGAATGTTACTGTCGACAGCAAGATAAAATGAGCTCAAGCGCACGATTTTTATATCAGACTTTCTATTTGAAGTTTAATATCTTAATATCAAAGAAGTTACATGATGCTAATAGCTGCCAACATCTTGACGGAAGAACTGAATTTTTTTGATACTTTATTTTGACAGCAGAAAGTGAATATTAGTAGCTTTTGGAGTTTTATGAGATAAGGCTAAAACTAGTGAATAGAAATGAGCTCAAATTAGAATGTGGAAAGCCTTTAATTTTGACTGATAGTAAGTTCTAGCATTTGACTAACTTTTCACGAGCATAATATATTAATTGCCATGATACTAGGTTCTCATCCAAGGATGAACAAGTATCAGTTGGGTGTGAGTGTGTAACTAAAGAGTGCATTGACATCCACACCCTCATACTCAACATATTTTTATCGATGCAACAGTTAACATTGCCGATTCTTGTTGGGAGAATTAGGTCCAATATAATGTGAAAATTCGATTCATAGCGAGTAAAATAAACCATCTATTTTGTTATTCATCAATCATCATTACATGAGTGGTCTCGTTATCCATAGATAGCCATAGACATTGAAATTATTCACATAGTGTAGTTAATGAAGCTATACATGGTTACTCACATTTTGATAAAAGAATTAAGAAGTTCATTTGATTTACTTTCAATCGTTTTATATGCAATATTAAAGGTCTCTTATATTAATACTTATTTATACTGCCTGCATTTAATAGTATGTGAATCATAAAGGAAATATGCATCTTTTCTGTTGGTTAATTATTACATACAAGTAAATAGAAAAATAACAAGCTACGCATTTCGTATAGGTGCCATGTGTAACTATGTGCTTCATTCTCTGTTGATATTAATGGTATTTGTACCTATGGATTTGTTTCCTCAAGGTAAGTCAAGATGTTTGAATATGGCTTTAGTTTTTTTTTCTTATATACATATACTAATAAAGAATATTCTTTGACAATTAAGTTTAATTTTTAATCAATTTGATATATTATTAAAACTTTTTAGTAATTTTTTTATGGCGCTTTCCATTCAATCCAACATTCTAGGTCCTCCATGTCTTAATAAAGAACTCTTTTAATCTTATTGTTCTGATATATATCACAAAGAAATTATAACAAATTCCGAAAAGATCTTTGTAAAGAAATACTTATTTATCTACAACTATGATTCTTTGTGTTCCATAAAACTATTTACTGTAATCAATTTATTGAAAACTTTCTTCATTTGTCTAAAAACAAAATGGATACTTGTTAGTGCTGGGATGATTTGAACAATGACTGATTGAGAATTTACAGCATTACCATAAACTCGATTCTGTTTGTATTTATCAATTGTTCTTTTTGTTAATAATGGTGAAGCAACAGTAGAAATTTACAGTAATGATCAAGCATATTTATCTGATCTTACAAAGTGAATCTCATCATATTTTATAGTCAAATAATAATAATAATTAGAAACATTTATTGAATAAGTTTTTTTTTTCTACAAAAGTTTTAACAGTTGTGTAGAGTATTGGTTGATTTCGACTAAAATCTCTAATTCTGAAAGCAACAAACTATTGATTACTTAAAGGATCAAATTCGATTTTTAAACTGGCATTGTTATTCTCCTTGAACCAATTTTTCTTGTTCTTCGTCAATATCATTCTTCATTAGCAAACAGTAGTATTTTAAATTGTGGCATATTACTTTTTCTGTGGGTGGAATGGGAATGCAACGGTCTTATGTACCGCTCTGCACTGGTCTAAACATGATCGTTAGACTAACGGTGAAGTTTCTAGCAAATAACTTAGTGTTTTTAAAAAATAGAGTAAAGAGTGCTAGGGTCCAAAAATTTGAATGCATAGGAGATTTTCCAAAATTCTCGAATTCAATTTCCCGGATCAATAAAGATTTAGTTCTCATGGTAGAATCACGATTTATATAATTTAGTTATCTTCTCAAAATCGACTTCCTTCAGTAGAGAAAGTCGAAATGAATCTAAGATCACTCTAGATTTATCATGTACGCACTGCCTTTATCGTTATTCTATACATGCATGTCTAGACTATTGCAGTGCTCTACCTAAAACCAGTGATCACAATCACTGTTGAATGAATGTCTAGGTTGGATTATGAATGTGAAAGAACAGAATACTAATACTCATACTCACAAAGAGAAGGGCCAAAGAAAATATACATCGAAGACAATATAATCTAATCTTATTGTCATACGTCATATAGGAACCACTCGTACCGACATTTTATTAGTATGATATTAGTTGAAGAGTGATTAAATATCTCAAAAAAAATAGATGATTGTTTTTGCAATCATTACATATAAAGAAAAAGCTCCTTCAAACTTTTGATAAAGAATGACTGACATTCATAGAAGTATTGTATTTTTCTTTCTTTTTTCTAACTAAAGGTATGCTCAACCATTTCGGACTTGTTTCTTTTCTGATTTGCTGATGTATATATATCACTTTGGTATAAGAAAAAAACGAATCTCCTAAAATTAATCTAAAAACTCTACAATAAGTCAATATTAAGAACAAGCTTTAAAAAAAGTCTATCTTGTCTGTCATGGTAGTAACGATGAAATGATTAAAAAATTTCTTCCGTCAATGTCGACTAAACGAATCAATCATTTTGAAACAAACAGAAGTACAATTCTCCATGTTGCTTCGTATTACTGTTAGACAGAAACTGTCTAATCTTCATTAGATGCTGACGTACTTGTCATGAAGATATTCGATTAATGCATCATAAACAGCTAAAAAGAAAACTTATTTATGAAAATTACTTCAATCAAAATAATCCTTTCAACAAATAATTTCATATTTCCAAGAAAATTATTTGTAGGCATATGTTAATTTTTCATCATGTTAACGTCAAAAGATCGTTTGATCATGTAGTTCAATATTAATCAAAACTTTTTCGATGGTATAATCTTCCACGTACAATTCAACAATATGGTCTTCATTTAGTTTTTATTTTTTATTCATCGATCTAAATCAAGACTCATGGTTTTCACTGATGCCATTGATAGTAGGTTTTTCTTTTTCTCGAAAAGCTCTTGAAATTTCTGTAGTTAATAAACACTTACAAAAGTATTTCACCTTTCTTTTTTTGACTACATTCGGTTCTCGAAGAGAATATAACTGATCGGAGTGAAACAGTTGCCACAGATATTCGGAAGATAGAATTCTGAAAGTTAAATCTCTCAGGTTAGCTCCAGATCTTTGCATATTTTCGCATAGAAAAAGAAAGTAAAATGTTAAAAAAGCTCAAAACTTCTTCTAAGATATAATCTTAACCATATCAAAAAAGAATTTTTTAGCTCAATCAAACAAAGTTTGATGAGAAAGGACATAATGTACCAAGATACAGCCCCACAAAAAAAAAACAAATTCCCTGAAAAAATCTCAAAAATCCTCTCTTTGAGATGCTTGTATCCAAACACATTTCATCTTATTTGAGGTCACTATCTGTGAGAAAAACTTCAATCTGATGGGTTGTGTTCTTACTGAGAGGCAAAAGTGCTTCAAAAAGAGGAGGATACCGTCAAATAAATCATTTTATCAGCGTTAAAATAATGTTCTGGTGTTATAAAATATCCATGTGTGGATTATCGAAACGAAATGTGAATAAGAGTCGATCAAACAAAATTTAAATGCACAGACACATGTATTTCTAAATGAGAAACAGAACACAACATCAAATACACGAAATACATTTGAAATTTCAAGTAAACATCTAATAATAATTATGGAACTATGTACATATCGCGTACGATCTGTTCGATGAAATGATCAAGATAATAATGACTTTCGAATTGATATTGAATTTAAACAATATATTAAATTAGTTCCATTGAAAAAAAATTCAACAGAAAACAACATCGATAGTTACATAGATGAATATTTATTTGAAATGCTAATTTATAATTAAAAATACTTGATTCATTTTTTTAATCTTGCCGATATTTATTTTGGTCTTATCCTATGCATGGTGTCTTTTTTCTTCTGTCTTATAAATATTTGTAAAACAAAAATAACTTTTATATTTTGCCACTAAAAGAAAGCACAATAATGTGGAATCGTGCAGTGAGAGTCAATCCTTACTATTTATTATCCGAAATGAAATTTATTTATTTGTAGATTCAATTTCTTGTTCACTTATTTGGTTGGTCATCATTTTTTGTCATGGATCATATTGGTATATTATTTTATAGCTCCAAATAGAAGTAAATATTTTTGGTTTGTTTTTCAATCAGGAAATTTTTCTAATGCATGGCAACAATTCATTCGAGATCCTCATGTTGCTCATGCAGCATATTCAATAACTATCTTAGATAGTCGAACAGGTTCAATACTTTTTGAACATGCCAAAGATCTAGGTCTTGCACCAGCATCATCACTTAAAACAATCACGGCAGCTGCTGCTTTGCATTATCTCGGTTCAGATTATACTTATGAAACTTTGTTGCAATATTCGGGTACAATAGATACTGTAACAGGCTTTCTTGATGGATATATTTATATTATTGGTGAGATGAAATCTGTTTTTATGTTTTCTAATATTTCATTAATATATAATAGGTAGTGGAGATCCATCGTTAGGCAGCTGGCGATATAATGAAACGACAACAGCAGATTTTATTATTAAAAAATGGATAGAAGCTATAAAACAAGCTGGAATTCGAAAATGTCGAGGTATTATAGGTGATACTAGTCGATGGAATAATACTAAAACAATTCTCATTGATGGATGGACATGGAATGATATTGGGTATGTATTAATTAAAATATTTTTAAAATATAATTTTCTACATTAAACTATATTCGACACAAAAAAGTTTTAAATACGTCTTACATTATATTTCATAACTTATTTTAGTCAATGGTATGGTACTGGTCATTCAGCATTAAATTGGAGAGAAAATGAGTTCACTATTGAAGTTCAACCAGGTTCATCTGCAAATGTATCTGCTCGTCTTATTACTATAAAAAATTCACCACCTCGTTTAAAAATTATCAATGAATTAATCACTTCATCATCAGATGGTGAAGCATCTCTTTATTTTTCTCTTGATGGTTCTAATGTTAGTTATCTACGTGGTGTTGTACCACTACATGCACCTTCGAATTTTAACCTTCGTTGTGCTGTACCTGATTCGGCATTGTATGTTGCTGATGAATTAACTCAAGCATTGCGATTAAATGGGATTGAAGTAGAACAAGATGCAACAGTTGAATCAAATGAAAAAGAAAACCTAACGTTATTAGATGTTCATCGATCACCTCCATTATCACAACTACTTGAGCAATTTCTTCGTATTAGTATCAATATGTATGGTGAAGTACTTGTTAAAACCATAGCTCATCAAACAGGACAATCTTCATTATTTGATGCTCCTTTGAAAATTCTGCCATCATATATTAATCAGTTACTTACGAATAATAATTCGTTAGAAGCTGTAGCAATAACTGATGGATCTGGTCTTTCGCGTAGTAACCGTCTAAGTACATATATTTTAGCACAAATCCTATTTACGCTGCAAAAACAACCATGGTTTGATGATGTTTTTTATGAAGCTTTCCCGACTATAAATGGAATTCGAATGAAAAGTGGAACATTGCTGAATACGATTGCTTATGCTGGATATATTAAGGAAAATTCGTTTGTTTTTTCATTTATGATTAATAACTATTATGGTGAAACTGCTCCCGATATGAGAAAAAAAGTTTGGAATATGCTTGATACATTAAAGTAAATGTATCCATATTTTATCCCTTTCTTTAAATGCTTATTCTTTATTGTAATAATGAACAAGAAATATATCCTATTTCATCCAGTTTTTGACCATCAAAGGAAACATTAAGATTGTATCGAGAATAATATAGAAAAACGGAAAAAACTTTCCAAATTTTGCTGATAACCATATTAAGCTGTCAAATCCATTGCCTCTGTATATATCGCTTAATCTTCTTTCTATTCTATAATACCGCTAGAAAGAATCGAAATTGTATAAAATTATATTCTGTTATTTCATTGATTATTATTGTTTATATGATATATTGTCGAACAAAGATATTATAAAGTATTCCAGTCGTATCATTAATTTGTTCATCGATCATCTCATAACTGCAATTTGTAATTAGTTTACTTGAATTTTCATTGAACATTAACTAGTCTTAGAACATTACTCATATGAGTCATTGCACGATCTTCAAAAATACTTTTTTAAAGTAATATTATCAGAATGACATTTGAAAGAAAAACAAGAACTGTTATCAGTCTGTCATGAAAAAGTCGTTCCTTTTTTTCTGATATACTTGCTCATCAAACAATTATTGGGATCTATAAAAAAAAGCAACGAACTAGGTTGTATTTTGGTATAAATGTCAGTAATATCCGTCGATCTCTACGGATTTAAACCTTTTGATTTCAAAATTCGCCTCTGAACGCTTTTACTACTGCACTTATACACCGTTTTTAAAACACAATATCGTTGTCGCCTCAAGAACACGCGGAAAAACTGATTTTCGAATTTTAATTAGAAATCTTTGCATAAGAATAAGTTTCAGCAAGATTAGTTTATTGTGAAAGTTTCAGTTCTTTCGATTGTTCTTATTCTAAGGTATGACTTATGAGTCTGGGTCTAGATGTATACGCAAAGATATCCAATACCGGCATCCACACATAGAAATACAAAATCGTACTAATACTCTTTACGGTCGATACAATAATGACCTTATCAATACATCGAGTATTCTTACTGGTCTATCATATCTTATTCAAACAAAAAATAAGAGATATAAAACTTGCAAGATTCTAGCTTGGTTTTTTATTCAATTTTTCTCACCTTTGCTTCACAGGATAGTGATATTGCTGTCTTTGTACCTTGTTATAGTTCGACAAATTTGTTATTCAATGTTTTTATCTCTCTAAAGGTCATCACTCGATATTTCGATGCACGAGATTTTTATCTTTGTCTTTCGAATTTCGACGTTACATTCTTCGATATTTTTCTTTGTAGTCAGTGTGATTAACCCTTGGGGGAGGAGAGGGCAATCGATATCAGCATTTCTAAATTTATCGAAATATTTCCTATTACGTTGTCATTTGCTTTAAATACAATCGATGTATACAACGGACTTCTTTTGCAGTAAACTCAATCGTTACGATAATAACAATAATATTAACATTAAAGTAAGAAAAGCGGACTACGAAAATGAAAAACAACAAGCTAATACTCCAAATACAACGACAAATAGAATGCTTGTAGAACAAGAAAAAATATTTCTGTTCGAAATGCAAATATTATTGACACAGATCGTTACGCTGATAATCGATTATCCTTGAAAATAACGATACAGTGTTAGAAGTTTTACATTCAACGCAGTTTGTATTAATATACTGAGGATAAAGAACACGTGTGAGTATCATTTTTTACCTCTAAAATATATGCACTGACAAGTTTTTTCTATATGTCTTTTAGAAAAATCTTATTCTTTGTTTTCTTTTATTTATATAACAGAAGAAGAACACATTCATTATAAACCATTGGCAATATCAAAGTAAACAAAAGAACGTGAAACGACATTAAAAAAAAACAGATTTCTTACAAATCTAAAAAAATATATATAAGACGTGATACGAATGAGTGATGTTAATTTGCTTCCATTGACGGTAGTCCAAAAACTTGTAGAAATTGGAATACCACAAGATAGCTTGATATTTTATCAAGATGGTC